TCTTTTGGTTCTTCCACTCTGATGTGCTGACTTTTAAATTAGTGGCTGGTTGACGTTCTTTGTCTCATCTCAGCTAGTCTGCGCTTAAAGTCTGAGCATAAAAGCACTCCAACAGAGAACGAGTGTGTGTTTGCATGTGTGTGTGTGTGTGTGCTGGATTGCAATGTGGTTCTTTGGCAACCGCACCCCATACACGTCCCTCTCCATCCCTCAGCCCCCATTCCTGCTCAGGCGAATGCTGATTTGCTGGTGTGGCTGTAGCCCCTCCCCTCCTGTGCAGGGGGGGGGGGACTCCCCTTTCACCGCTCTCCTTTTGTCCGTGGATAAAGCAACTGCCTCTTTCCCTGTTCAGCCATGGGAGCCGCAGGTCAGTACTCGCTTCTGCTGCAGCTAAAGCTTTTCAGTCTGCGTGCCATCTGTGCGGCGCATCACAGACCTCAGTCGCTGTTGCCTTGTCAACACCTGTCACCCGAGCAGAAATGTCTGTTGTTGATTTGTCTGCGCTACCTGTGCCTGCCCGTGTGTGTGTGTCTTTGTGTGTATTGTATGTGAGCATCTCCGTTCAAATCAGTAGCCACATGTAGAGCCGTGCCAGCAACAATGGATCGAATGGGGAGTGGTCCATGTGCAGCTGCTGTGACAATGAATGAGTCTTTGATTTCACAGTGGTGGTGTTGTTTGGGATAGGTCTTGAGCATTTTTGGAATGTATTTTAGTTACTAAGAAGACAAGACATGCTGTTTCACAGTGTGGGAACAGTGTGTGACGGAGCTGAGACTCACTCAGTGACAATGGTTGTTCTTTCACATCCAGGTTTAGCCTCCCTCTTTGGCATCTACAGATGCCTTTTAGTGGAGAGTAAAGATGGCCGTCATCACTATGCTGCTCACAGCTCCACAGCTAAAATTAGAGCGAGCAGGCAGGCAGGCGGACAGCACAGAGGAAGACACCCAAGAGACCCCAGCAGCGATCTTCTGTTCTTCGTGGGCACAATACCTTACATTAAACAGTTCTCCCTGCATGTCATCAAGGATTTAATGGCGTCCGTACTATAGTGGTTCTGTCTGGCTCGCAGTGGTAGTGGTGTGCTTGGAGTGTTGGGGCAGCCGGTTCAGCAGAGGTGAAAGGAGCAGCCGACAGTTCTCATGGAAACAAGCCCATGTTTCCAGCCGACTGCCAGAGGAGGACCCGTCGGCTGCTGGAGCTGTAATGGTACACTGAGCTAATCCTCAGTTATCACTTTGCTTTGCTAGTGGCTTTAAATTACAGGGCCCACCACCCAAAGAAGAACAGAAGGAAACCAGTGCAGCAAGACACATGACAGCCTGGGGGTATGTGTATATCCAAAATATTTCTTCCTGTATGAGGGAGCGTGCTTCACAGGAATCATTGTGTTTTGCTGCATTAATGAGATACTGATGCATCGTCATCCTTCATCATGATCCAGAGCTGCTGCTCTGACCAGATCACATTGAGCCATAATCTGTGAACTGCTGATAGTGCTTCTATTTCTGCTGCTGCGTTCAATGAGCTATAGGTCAATCATTAATTCTGCACTGTGAGCAGGCAGTGCAGGTGTACCTGGAGTGTAACGTGCCCGATGGTATGTATGTTTGTATACGTATGAGACCCGACCAGATGCTCCTGATTTTAAGCACACGTCAGGTATAACAATGAAGCCCTCCGGCCTGGAGTGTCGCAACACAGATTGAAGCACTTGTTCAACTAGTCAGAGTCAGTTATTACCTTTGGAAAGGTCGCTCTATATATAGAGGTAAAGAAACTTAACCGGCACACCGTCACTGGGACACCTTCATTCTGCCTAACCTAATGAAAAGCTGGGTTATGAAGCTGGGTTAAAACAAGATAACGTGACAGCTCTCTGAGGACCCTGGGTTGTGAACAGCTTCCAGTAATTTGACCCAAATGTGTGGTGTGTAGACCGCAGCAGCCTAATCCAGTTTGTGAAACGTACATCTGTGGATACCAATTGAACCTAAAGAATGCTGGTTATGGATCCTAACACAGTTTACCTTTGTTCTGTCCTTCCCTCCCCAGCGATTGATCTGCTCTACTGGAGGAATGTGAAGCAGTCAGGGGCCGTGTTTAGCAGCGTGCTTCTGCTCCTCTTCTCCCTGACCCAGTTCAGTGTGGTCAGTGTCGGAGCTTACTTAGCCCTGGCTGCCCTCTCGGCCACCATCAGCTTCAGGATCTACAAGTCTGTACTGCAGGCTGTGCAGAAGACAGATGAGGGACATCCTTTCAAGTGAGTGGAAACAGTTGAAGAAAATGACCAGTTTGCATTAAACAGTCAGTGACATTCACATAATGGATGGCTGTGGACATGTATCACTTTTGTCTGCTCTCATATATGTTACCAGGGCCTACCTGGAGATGGAAATCGCTCTGTCTCAGGACCAGATTAGTAAATATGCTGACAAAATCCTGCTCTACACCAACACCTGTATGAAGGAGCTCCGCAGGCTGTTCCTTGTACAAGATCTGGTTGACTCTTTGAAGGTTTGCATCACATTTAAAAGATCACTGTTTGCTTTTTAGCCCTGCTGAGAAGTCTGCTAGCTCTAACTTTAACTACACTTTGTTTCAGTTTGCTGTTCTGATGTGGCTCCTGACCTACGTAGGCGCTCTCTTCAACGGCCTGACACTGCTCATCCTAGGTGAGCTCATCCTGACTTTCAGGCACTGCTGTTGACTCACTCACACTCCATCTGAAGCCTAATAATCATCAGAATACAGAGCCTTATATATTGGGAACTAAACAGAAGTATGACATGTCAGTCACCATGAGAGAGCACCAAATGCATTTATTGGAGGCATGTACTGCTCCATTTCATGTATGTGTTTGCTTTTCCAGTTTACCTTAGATAAGGGAAGTGGTTGGGGTGTGCTTGGCCTCCTGTTGAAACAACTTTTTTCCTGTTTTTAACATATTTCCACTTCAGGTCAGAGTACTTTAACCATTATTTTTCTGTGCCTCTGCAGCTGTGGTCTCCATGTTCACCTTGCCGGTGGTCTATGAGAAACATCAGGTAGGAATGCACATCAACTCAAGTCAGCTAAGGTTTGGAAAAAACATTGCTCAACTTCTAAAAAGTCTTTTGTTTTTAGGCACAAATTGATCAGTACGTGGGACTAATACGGACCCAGGTCAACTCTGTGGTGGGCAAGTGAGTGGCTGCCATTCAGTTATTTTATTTGAGGAACTTTTTTGCCAAAGAAAGGGGGGAAAAAAAGTTTACAACTTACCAACTTTCATGTTTGTCTACTGCAAACAAATGAAGAAGTACCTGCCGTTTTCTTTTCTTCAAAGTTGCTCAGTGTCCAGTATATAAGTGAACTTCTACTGGGCATCTTTCATATATTTATGCAACTCAGTGGTTCTCAAACTGTGGCATGGGCAAATGAGGAAAAACAAATATAGGTTTGCTGATGCTATTGCACATTTTATTTAACTAAAATGATCAGATACTATTGTTAATGATAAAAATATCAAAACTGTGGGATGTGAAAATACTAATTCTAACTGCTTAGCAAATTTACCTATTCTCCAGCCACTTTTGAAGAAATGAAAAGCCACAGATGTTTGCATTATGCCCAGGGTGTTTCTTTAAATAAACTCATCAACACCCCTCAAAAATCAAAGAGTTTTTAGGTTTGTAACTGCTTTTCATACCTAAATATGCACTTCCTGGACACAGGTTGCTAATTTTAGTCAGACTCTACTTGCCGGGTCCATTGACTACCATAAAAAGAGAACACACAAAGTCATGCCCTCCTTAAATTAAAAAAAGAGAAGAGAAAAAATAAAATCCAGCGTAAACATCTTGCTGTTAACATAAAAATTAAATTCCTGTTTTCTCTGTCAAGGATCCAGGCAAAGATCCCTGGAGCCAAGAGGAAGGAGGAGTAGACCCACGTGTCTCACCGAGAAGCTGACAGTCCAGTCCAGCTCGGAGTCAGGCCCACCGTTAAAGAGCCTGGTCGTCATCTGTGGGGCGTAGTGCTATGTCATCTTGGTGTTCTCTAAAAGCATCCACTGGAGAAGCCTTCACCTTGTCTATAGCAGTCTAATCACTAACACACACACAAACAGTCACACGTATGCACATAATCCTGTTTCTAGGTAGACAAGTACACAACTCGAAGACAAAAAAAGAAACTGACTTTTTTTGTGTTGCTTATTATGAAGTGCATGAAGTCGAGCCTTGGGTAAATAATATTTGATATATTTTGTGCAGTTTTTAAAAGTCACGCTACATCTTTTGCTTTGCAGTGCTTACCACAAACTGTACGGTTTGGCACAAAATGGCTAAACGCCCACAGACGTGCTCTGCTGCCAATGTTGAATACAGCTTCATGTTTCTGAGTTAGCAGATGGGGCTTCTCTCAGTATATGTCAATATATATATAAATATCCAAAATGATTTCCTTTTGGTGTTTCCAAGCACAAAATAATTTAACGATATGCGTCTTAGATGTGGTAATTGTAGGGTTTTTGCTTTTGTATAACCATAAGGAACAATACCCACGCTCATGTTTTAGGTACTATTGTACAACTTATGAAGACAAGGAGTATCTGGTGATATTTAGCTTGTTTGAATAACTGTCCAACTTTGTACTATGTTCAACTATACTCTGTAGTTCTTTAGACCCTGGACTCTTTAACTATTTGCACTCACAGTATGTATTTAATTACAAGAATAAGAAAAATAAATGTACCTTGGTGTAAAACTTCTCCAAAGCCACTTTACTGATGAGTTGACGTTCATAAGATGAAGTCGTGTTTCTGTGTGATGCAACAGCTAAGTTTAAGGTGCTAACACTTAGAATGAGAGACTTGGAATGACGAGCTATAAATATAGGCCAATACATTCTGGCACCACCACACCTCTAATAGTAGGAGACAGGTGTGTGTCTGTGTGTGTGCTGACAAATTTAACTTCCCTCTTGAGTCACAATCAGAAGACCGACAAGCTTCATCTGTTGCAGACAACTATTTTTAATGACCAACTGCAGAAACACAACAAGGCAAAGAGGCTGAATCTTATCAATGAACTTCAGCAGCCACCAAGTTAAACAGGAAGTGTCTAAGTAACCGTAAATGAAGAAAGGAAGGAGGATTTTCCTGTTAGGATGAAAGCTACAACAAAAATTGGACTTGAAACTTGTGTGGGGAAAAAAAAAAAACCTCCTCCGAACAACAGTTAAAGTAAAATTGAAGTTAACCAAATCACAATGCAACATTTAAACAATTTCTAAATACTTAAACAATCATTTTTAGTTGTTGAGCACAGTTACAGGGTGTAGCTGGTAGAGAACGGCTCTGGCGTTTCCACCTCTCGGCTCCACGATGTCCATCCTCAGAGAAGGATCCACCTGCAGGATAAATACATATTTTAAAGCACAAGGACCTAAATGTGCCTAAGCAGAGCAGATGATCAAATGAATAAATAAAAGTGCACTGATCTGCTCATTACCTGGTTCCATTTTCCCAGTTTTTCAAACAACTGGGGAGCAATCGCTTCCCTTGGCGGAGACTTCGTGAACAGTCTGCACAATAAAAACAGTAATAACTTAAAAATTCAGCATTTTTACTGTTTTTTCAAAAAAAACCATTTTTGTTGTCCACCAAAGACATTTTGGCCTTCCCTAAAGAAAGACCATCAGGAAAAAGCTCCCAGTCCTCTGGTAGAGCAGGGGTTGTCAAACTTTTGGGGGCCAGGGACCCCTTACAGGGGTAAAATTGTTCCAAGTACCCCCTTCTAATCCCCATGCTCATAGACTGCCTTTTGTACTCCTAGATTATGTAGGAATAATTTATATTTTAAATTTTTCAATATAAATACTCAATCTGTTTCAAAGAGCTATGAGCTTCATAGAAAATAAACAAAACAAAATTTAAATAAACGTGAACACTTAAACTCCGGGCAAATTCAAGATGTATTTAAACTCAGAGCATTTTTTTAAAATAAATCGGAAAGCTTTAAAAAAAAAAAAACAGTGAAAACACTGGAACAATTTAAATGAACCCATTTTGTTTCATGAGCAGTTTAAAGACTATTTAATTGGTTAAATTTTAACACAATGAACATATTTCCCTTATTAAAATTATTTGCAGAAAAATGAAAAATCTAGCAATTTTGCCGTATCTGGCTTTATTTCACACAGTCAATCCAGTCATCAACAACAATTATTCCCTAACTCAGTGAGAAGGATGAGCGCGTCTCTCACTACACAGTTTCTCTAATCTTGTAAGGATGGATAACAAACAGACTCGAAGATCATCTTCCACTTATAAACGAGCTCTGTACTTCACAGTCAAAGTTGAAAATGATGATTTACAGAGGTAAGTGGCAGGAAAGGGGAGCAATTTTTGCATACCCTCAGGAGCCAGTTTGGGATGCCACCCTGTCATCTGAAACCAAATGTGCACTGAGGCACACTGAACTTTTTCTGAAGTTGTTATCAGGTTCACCATTAATTTTTTCTGACGCATGTTATCCACACCTTTTCACTGAAAAAAAATTACTTTGTTTTATCTTTAAACTCTGGGTAATTTTTTATGTGATGCCGCTATAGCTTAGCTGGCTTAATTGCTTGATTTGCTATCACTTGAAGACACACAACACATTTGGGTTTTCCATCGTCATTCTTGATGAAATCAAACTCGAGGTAACTGTCATACTTTCTCATTTTAGCTGATCTGGCTTTTGCGTTATTTGATGAAGCTTTGAGGATAAAGAGCACCCACAGGGCGAGTGGGTAATTGTATATATTGTATATATATATATACATATATATACATACAATCATCACTAATGTGCATTCGTTACCCCTCAATGCACTGACATTGGATATCAAATATATATATACACAATATAGATATATAATATATATATATAATATATATATATAACAAATATATATATATATATATATACACACACACAACACTTATACATATATATATATATACTAATATACACACACACACACATATACATATATATATATATACATACAACACACACCTCAATTGTGCACGTTGACCCCTCAAAGACCTGAGCCAGGAACAACCCCAGTATGTATCTATATCAGACCTGATGAGGCGGTCCCGACAGTCCTCCTGCAGCTGCCTGATCCTGTCAGTCCCCAGATGCAGAGTGCCATTGGGGCCTTCGCACACGAGGTGGTTTATAGCCATTCGTAGAGCATTTATCTGAAAACAAAGAATCAATCAGGTGCCACATCATTTAAACAAACAAGTGAAGTACTACCATCCACACACACCACTGCCAGTATCACAAAGCATAGCTACAAACTGTATAAAAAGTAGTTTAGAACTCTATTTTCAAGCTTCAACATTAGCACTAATGACAGAAATGACCACATCTGGATCACATTTGGATGAAAGGGTGGAGAGCTAATGTATTAGCAAATGTTAGCAAACTGCATGAGTAAAGTGCACACATACTTACACATAATGGTTAGTGTTACCAGATTAATAAAATACTAAAATTTCCCCAACAGCGAAGCACACACAGCAAGCCGTTCTTAATATTTGGAGAACTGAAAAACTCTTATTATGCCTGCCATGTAGGAACCTTCCTAAATGACACTGACTATTCAAACATGCACAAAGATTTCTATTCAGAATCCTTTGAGTGGCTGTTTTGATGATTTTACACAACGGTCTCTGAGGTTAAATTTACCTCAGTGATGTCGTCAACATCAATCTTCACATCAAAGGACAGTTCGATGTCATGTTCAAGCAGGATGGCCTCCTGTTTCTGACTGTTGAAGCCTAAGCCACAGAGTGCCCCAGTGTAGCAGGTTCTCTCTTCATCAGTGCTAAAAATAAATATGTTAGGTAAATAAGAATGTGAGTTTCTGTACATATATGTGCAGCGGTAATGCACATTTAACCAACCGTAGCTCCATGATGGGAGTGAAGAGCATCATTACAAGTGCAGGCAGTCCAGGGATGTCTGGCAAAATGGAGGTGTCTCTCAGCAGAATACGGGTACCTGCAACACAAACACACCCTTAAAGCTCTACATAAGATAAGACCCATTGCCAAGATCAAAACAATGCTCTCATAATCTGACCTGGAAAAAGTCATCTATGGCTTTGTTTTCTCTAGGCTAGATTAAAGCAAACCCTTCTATTTGGTAAAAATAAAAAGTTAGTCTGTCACCTTCAGCTAGCTCAAAATGCTTTTAGTGCATTATTTTATTGATCACCTCTAAAGGAGACCAGGGCCCAAAACAGAAATACTGAATTTTTGAGTCAAATTACAGCCTCAGATGCTTTTGGCTGTTCCAAAGTCGAGGTTGAACTCTAGAGGTGATGGTGCTTTTACCATTAAAGCGCCTCTGCATTTGAACCACCTCGTTATGTCATCCTTTCTGTGTAAATTTAATATTCTGCCTTGCTTATATTTCAAAGTCACAAATATTATGATTAAAGCTGAATTTAGAGCTCAAGCTTCTTGATGCAACTCCCCAATTTATAGTCTTGGGAACAGGACTAGGAGGACACTACTCTTGTGATATTTTGTTTATCTGGTACCTGTGGAGCTGACTGACACAGTCCCAGCCACCAGCATCTTCTGATGACTGCAATGTGGGTTTTCATTCAGAGCCAAGGAGTTGATGCTGTTCTTCTCTATACATACAGTCCTACAGGAGGATACAGTGATCATCAGCTGAGGCAGAGGGAGGGTGGTTGTAGGTACATATTCTTGTTTTGTTTTGTTTTTTAAATCTCTGTAGTGCTTACTTGTAGAGCGTGTTGCTCCTCAAGCTGTGGAAGCTCATCATATGAGGACTGGTTGGTCCATGCAGACGAACCTGCAGTGTCAGAGGGAATAGCAATCAGACATAACATGATGCATTCACTGATCACAGTGATGCAAAACTGTGTCGTCACTGTTCTGGCTGTCACATTGAATGGGTGTGCCTCTGAATGAACACAAACACATGAACTGAACCACTGAAATGGCTCCCTCTTCTGGATAAACTGACAGCAGCAAACAGTAAAAAAGGCGGTGGCATCCATCACACATTCAACACCAAAGACTCAGTGTTATTCAAAACCCACCATTAGCTATAGATATTGTCTTTCTAAAAATTCACTCAAAACCTTAAAGATCTTCAACCATTCTAGTTTTACTAGACTAGGATGCTTTCATGAGGAATTACCAGCACTGCACAGGCATCACAGGAACACGAAGGTGACAATTAACTACTTTTGGGGCATTTGTATTCCATTTTTAGTCTTGGTTTCAGAATTGTTAAAGCCCTGTTTACTAAGCATGCTGTAACATATTTTCTGATTCCTTCTTAGAAGCATCAAAATGTGCAAAACTTTGCCTGGATTGTTTCGTACTTTTGTCCTGGAATAGGACTGGGGTTGCTTGGAAAAGTGGGTAAGCAGGCTGTCGATGAGCTCCTTCTCCTCTTTTTTGCGGTTGCTCCAGGTGTTGCTTACAGAGTTGGGCACATATGTACCTTCCTCCATGTCCTTGTACAGAGACATCAGCACCTCATGGTTTTGCTGCAAGAGCACAAAAACATTCAATACTTTGACTGAGAAAAGCACAAAATGCTTCAGATCTATTCATACAGAACTTTTTGTCTCAATGCATCTCAGTCTGCCTGCAGCACATGCAGCAAACCTGAGGCCAGACATCTAAAATAGTTTGTCTTTAAAATTCTAGCTTTCATTTTTACTTCAATTAGCTAAAGTATTTTTTCAATACAAGTTTTGTTTTAAGTTCAGTTTAAAAAACTGAAATAACTTCATCTTAAGCTGCTAAGAGAACTAGTATTTCTTTCTGCTTATTGTGTCACCTTGGAGTCAAAGCTCTCTTCAGCCTTCACAGCATGTCCTTCTTCCACCAGCAAGTCTACCACGCTGGTGTTTGCTGTCTCAGAGTGGATGAGCAGATCCACACGCATCACACCATAGAGGATGG